GCTAGACAGACGACTGTACACACACATGGCTAGCCAGCCCATTGTACACACACATGGCTAGCCAGACGACTGTACACACACATGGCTAACCAGCTCATTGTACACACACATGGCTAGCCAGACGACTGTACACACACATGGCTAGCCAGCCCATTGTACACACACATGGCTAGCCAGCCCATTGTACACACACATGGCTAGCCAGACGACTATACACACACATGGCTAGCCAGACGACTGTATACACACATGGCTAGCCAGGCCATTGTACACACACATGGCTAGCCAGACGACTGTATACACACATGGCTAGCCAGGCCATTGTACACACACATGGCTAGCCAGCCCATTGTACACACACATGGCTAGCCAGCTCACTGCGTGCACTCCCGATGATGCAAGTGGTTGAACAACATTCCTTTTCTCTATCCTCCTACCCTAGCTCCTGGGCCCCCTCACATCCCCTCCCAAGTGCAGTATAGCTACACACACTGTCCTAGCATCCCATCCTCCTAAGATTTCTCAACGTCAAGAAACTGTCATACTAACTATCCCGAATCCTAACCTCCCAGAGGACCCAAAACAGAAAACGGGACATTATGTCAATTTCGCAAGCCGCTATCCTTTTGTAGTTCATCAATTCTTGGCCTTAGGTAAGATTATTCGTCAAAATACGACGTTCTATTAAGAGGAAGGACTGGCCTTAGCATATTTTTCTAACACTAACCTCAACTTACCTACAGCTCCTAATCTGCGCCTCCTAAGACCCATTGCGATCGAAAAAAAATTTTTGTTAAGTTTTGGCTGTTGCTTAAGCAGTGTTTTTGTGCTATTTTAAAAGAATGCAGAGGAAAAGAAAGTAATTATGGGCGAAATAATGCATTACAAACACGTACCCATACTTCTGTCCTACGGTAGAACACATCATCAATGTTTACTACGGAAATTTCTGTCTGCAGGAACACCATATTGTCTGCATAACACTTCACTTATCTGCTTTAAACCTCACTACAACCTCTCTTTCCAAACAAGTGAACATAATATGTATTTTCCAACTCCTCGTTCGAATCAAATTGAAAGTATTTTTATTTTTTACTAGTTTACATTAGCCTTACTGGTAGCAAGAGTTTTAATGAAATAAATTCTGGAGATATATTACTGGTCAAATTATATATAATATTACTCCAATGGGAAAATATTAATATATATATTTAAGTTGTAAGTTCAGGAAATGAACGAAAAAGCACATTGTATTTTTCGGTGCTTCAGACTTCTTCTCACAGTCTGTTGCACAGTTTGTATATATATATATATATATATATATATATATATATATATATATATATATATATATATATATATATATATATATATGTCGTACCTAGTAGCCAGAACACACTTCTCAGCCTACTATGCAGGGCTCGATTTGCCTAATAAGCCAAGTTTTCCTGAATTAATATATTTTCTCAATTTTTTTCTTATGAAATGATAAAGCTACCCATTTCATTATGTACGAGGTCATTTTTTTTTATTTGAGTTAAAATTAACGAAGATATATGACCGAACCTAACCAACCCTACCTAACCTAACCTAACCTATCTCTATAGGTTAGGTTAGGTTAGGTAACCGAAAAAGCTAGGTTAGGTTAGGTTAGGTAGGTTAGGTAGTCGAAAAAACATTAATTCATGAAAACTTGGCTTATTAGGCAAATCGGGCCTTGCATAGTAGGCTGAAAAGTGCGTTCTGGCTACTAGGTACGACATATATATATATATATATATATATATATATATATATATATATATATATATATGTATATATATATATATAATATATATAGTAGATAGGATATCCGACAGTGCCCAGGCCAATTCAGATTGTCTGTTTGTTTTTCTATCTGTTTCTGTCTGTCTGTCTGTCTGTCTGTCTGTCTCTCTGTTTCTCTCTGTGTAGACCGTTGGTGTGATCGCCTTCGTTAGCTAACCTGACATCTCTCAGCTCCCCCTGCCCCCCCCCCCCTCACCTATTCCTCCCCTATTCCAACCTAGTTGACACCACTCTGGTGGGCTCAATCACCAGAGGTTTAGTGCTGGTTGACACCACTCTCATGACGGGGTAAACAAAGGCTCCAGAAAGGTTTAGACTGCAGAAGTAGTCAAGCAGATGATTACGAAACTTTAACTCAAGTGAACTCCAGATAACAAAAGAACAAACACATAGTTCTTGTTAATGAATAACACCAGAACAGCGCTGCTGGACTCCCGTCCTGACAGAGGAGTCCAACAGTGTGAGCGAGTGAGCACGATCTGAAAAGCCCCATAACACTGAAGATATTATATAGATAATGCCTATGTAACTCCTTACCTACCTTGAGGCTACCTTGAGGTGCTTCCGGGGCTTAGTGTCCCCGCGGCCCGGTCGTCGACCAGGCCTCCTGGTTGCTGGACTGATCAACCAGGCTGTTAGACGCGGCTGCTCGCAGCCTTGACGTATGAGTCACAGCCTGCTTGATCAGGTATCCTTTGGAGGTGCTTATCCAGTTCTCTCTTGAACACTGTGAGGGGTTTGCCAGTTATGCCCCTTATGTGTAACTCAGATATATATAGAGAGTATACGACAGAAACTTATGTCCTCAGCAGCAACATGTCAGGAATCTTAAGTAGGGTTTCGTCATGCTCTCTGCAACATTGAAAGTTGATCATGAACCATGTATCATATCCCATCTTTCAGAAATTAAAATCAAAATTCGAAAAAAAATATGCAGATGATTGCTACAACACAAGCACACTAGAGAGGAATGATATATGAGAATACACTAGAGGAGCTGAACCTTTCATATATTGAATGTGTATTAGAGAGAACCTAACAGATAGAGAGATATAGCTGTACTTGAAAGAGATAATATTATGTTGAACAGCAACATACCGAATAATAATTACAGGTTACAGGTTTCATTGGTTACAGCAATGAAAGAGGAGAGAACAATGGAGGCTACAGTCACTCACACTGTTGATATATGACAAGAAATGAGTAAAGGCGGGGACCGGAAGCTGAAATTAAGTTCTACAAACTGTTAGGAAAGCAACGTTAGGTAAACAGTTTCTCTCTCACACACACACATCCAAGGCGGGATCCAAGAGTCAATGCTCGATCCTGCAGACACAACTAGGTGAGTACACACACACACACGCACGCACACACACACACACACACACACACACACACACACACACACACACACACACACACACACACACACCTCTGAACCTTACCACCCTAGAGGAAAGGAGTGATAGGTGGACACACACACACACACACACACACACACACACACACACACACACACACACACACACACACACCTCTGAACCTTACCACCCTAGAGGAAAGGAGTGATAGGTGGACACACACACACACACACACACACACACACACACACACACACACACACACACACACACACACACACACACACACACACACAAGGACCAGGAGGCCATAATAAAGCAGCTGCAGTATTTATAGCAGTCGTGGGAAGTTGTTGAATTAATAAATGGCGCCAGAACTTATGACCCGGCGTTTAATTGCTCGGGAATTATTAATTATCAACGCCTCGAATTATTCACACCGACGGGAGAAGTTACCCGCAAAAATTGGACTGTGTTAAGGACTGCGGCGTTAATTAAAGGAATGGACGCGGTTGGTATGGCGGAAGGGGAGGAGGAGATGTAGGGGGGTGTGGGATGTGGGGGGTATGTAGGGGGTGTGGGGTGTGGGGGGTATGTAGGGGGTGTGGGGTGTAGTGGGGGTGAAGGGGAGTGTGGGGTGAAGAGAGGGGTGTTACATGTATCATATGTGTTACATATATGTTACATATTGCGTGATATATGCCTCTTCCCGTTGGTCAGGAGTCATACTCCAACTGAATATAGGTATAAGATAATTGTTTTAGATGCAGCTACTGGGAACAAAAAAGTTCCAAGTAGCACGGGCTATGGTGAGCCCGTAGTGGACTGACCTGGCACAGGAGCGGGGCTGTAGCAAGTATCACCGGCTATGGAGAGCCCGAAGTGGACTTACCTGGCACAGGGACGGGGCTGTAACAAGTAGCTCGGGCTATGGAGAGCCCGTAGTGGACTTACCTGGCACAGGAGCGTCGGGGCTGTAACTGTAGAAGATAAGATTGATTGATGAAGATTAAGACACCCAAGAGGTGGCATGGGCATGAATAGCCCGTAAGTGGTTGAGTAGAAGATAATAGAAATGATCTATTTTATAGTGTGGGGTGAGGTACAACAGCAAGAATATTAGAGGGGTACTTAGCCTTCCTTCCCCGCCCCCCCCCCTCCCCGCCCCCTTCCCCCCTCCCCGCCTCCTTCCCCCCTTTCTTCGCCCCCCCCCATTCCCCGCCACCCTCCTTCCTCCCCCGCAAATATTTGCCGACTGAAGGAGAGCTTCCCAAATTGGGGACCTAGTTTGTTAGCCAACCATTGTGTTGGCTAAGCACCGGAGTTCATGCACCCTGATAGCAGCGATTGCAGGCGACCAGGCCGTTTCCAGTGCAGCTGTGCAACCAGTCCTCCTTAATACATCGTCGCATTTTTTACGTACACGCTGTAAGACCAAAAAATCATCGGACTATTTTACATCCGTCGGACCTGTAGCGGCTGGCGAAATTTACATACTGTCCCGTTTTCTGTTTTGGGACCTCTGGTAGATTAGGATAAGAGGGCACTTTAGTACGACAGTTTCTTGACGTTGGGGGCAACTTAGGAAGACGGACTGAGCCGTGGGCGAGTGAAGCTCGCAATCTGTGGTGAGTAGAGGCTATTGGAAGGCCTCCCGGCTCAATCCCACTCATCAGATAGTGTGAGAGTCTTTAGTTAAGTGACCCCTCCTTGCTTGCAAGAGGGTTACCCCTTTGGAGTCAGTGGCACCAAAGGGGTAAATGCACGTCACAGGGAGTAAGTTGAGACAAATTAGGGGAAGATGTAAGGGGGTTACATTAGTTCCACAAAAAAAGGACTAACAACAGATGTAGAATTAGTAATATTACCAACAGAATCATCAGTAATATTAGCAACAGAATCATCAGTAATATTAGCTACAGAATCATCAGTAATATTAGCAACAGAATCATCAGTAATATTAGCTACAGAATCATCAGTAATATTAGCAACAGAATCATCAGTAATATTACCAACAGAATCATCAGTAATATTAGCAACAGAATCATCAGTAATATTAGCAACAGAATCATCAGTAATATTACCAACAGAATCATCAGTAATATTAGCAACAGAATCATCAGTAATATTAGCAACAGAATCATCAGTAATATTACCAACAGAATCATCAGTAATATTAGCAACAGAATCATCAGTAATATTAGCAACAGAATCATCAGTAATATTACCAACAGAATCATCAGTAATATTAGCTACAGAATCATCAGTAATATTAGCAACAGAATCATCAGTAATATTACCAACAGAATCATCAGTAATATTAGCAACAGAATCATCAGTAATATTAGCAACAGAATCATCAGTAATATTACCAACAGAATCATCAGTAATATTAGCAACAGAATCATCAGTAATATTAGCTACAGAATCATCAGTAATATTAACAACAGAATCATCAGTAATGTTAGCAACAGAATCATCAGTAATATTAGCAACAGAATCATCAGTAATATTTGCAACAGAATCATCAGTGATATTTGCAACAGAATCATCAGTAATGTTAGCAACAGAATCATCAGTAATATTAGCTACAGAATCATCAGTAATATTAGCAACAGAATCATCAGTAATATTAGCAACAGAATCATCAGTAATATTAGCAACAGAATCATCAGTAATATTTGCAACAGAATCATCAGTAATATTTGCAACAGAATCATCAGTAATGTTAGCAACAGAATCATCAGTAATATTTGCAACAGTAATCATCAGTAATATTAGCTACAGAATCAGAAAGCCTTCAGCAAGATGTGTCAAGCAGAAGCAACCATTCAATATGAAAATTGAATGGTTGCGTAATTGAAAATTTGGGGATTTAAACCTAATAGAACTGACAAAGCACATTTAAATAGAGAAAGCCAGCGGTGAGTCGATATAGCCACTAATAGTCGATGAAAAGGTGCATAAAGAGGACGTGCTGTCACTGGTTATCTTCTTCTTGAGGTTATCTTGAGATGATTTCGGGGCTTTTTAGTGTCCCCGCGGCCCGGTCCTCGACCAGGCCTCCACCCCCAGGAAGCAGCCCGTGACAGCTGACTAACACCCAGGTACCTATTTTACTGCTAAGTAACAGGGGAATAGGGTGAAAGAAACTTTGCCCATTGTTTCTCGCCGGGGCCTGGGATCGAACCCAGGACCACAGGATCACAAGTCCAGTGTGCTGTCCGCTCGGCCGACCGGCTCCCCTCCTGAAGAAAAAGCCAAACCAGTGATTTTTAAGGCAAGAGAGGTTATCTTGAGATGATATCGGGGATTAGCGTCCCCACGGCCCGGTCCTTGACCAGGCCTCTTTTTCTGTTACACATCTCCAGGAAGCAGCCCGTGGCAGCTGTCTAACTCCCAGGTACTGCTAGGTGAATAGGTGCATCAGAGTCAAAGAAAGCCCATTTGTTTCCGCTTCCGCCAGGTATCGAACCCGAAACCCTAGGACTACGAATCCCCACAGCGCTGTCCACTTAGCTCTCAGGCCCCTGATGTAAGAGAGGTGAAAAGTACATTACATCTGCTTGTTATGTTGTTATAGTTTCAGCTACTCGGAACAAGTTCCAAGTAGCACGGGCTATGGTGAGCCCGTAACTTACCTGGCACAGGAGCGGGGCAAGTAGCACGGGATATGGTGAGCCCGTAGCGGACTTACCTGGCACAGGAGCTGGGCAAGTAGCACGGGATATGGTGAGCCCGTAGCGGACTTACCTGGCACTGGAGCGGGGCAAGTAGCACGGGATATGGTGAGCCCGTAGCGGACTTACCTGGCACAGGAGCGGTGGTGTGTGACCTGCTTGTATTCCAAGCGCCATATTATACAGTTCGAAATGTAAAGTCAAGACAACCCAACAAAATGACTTTTTAACTCTTCAAAAACAAGTCAAAAATGTGCACTTGTCACTTACAAGTGAGAATGTCTGCAGCCATTAATGTGCACTTGTCACTTACAAGTGAGAATGTCTGCAGCCATTAATGTGCATTTGTCACTTACAAGTGAGAATGTCTGCAGCCATTAATGTGCACTTGTCACTTACAAGTGAGAATGTCTGCAGCCATTATCGGTCAACTGACAGTCAAGGATCTTCACATAAATCCCGGGGACTTTTGTAGCTGATAGCAGTATGTTCACTATGCAGGCGATGAGTCACAATAACGTGGCTGAAGTATGTTGACCAGACCACACACTAGAAATTGAAGGGACGACGACGTTTCGGTCCGTCCTGGACCATTCTCAAGTCGATTGTGAGACATGAGAATGGTCCAGGACGGACCGAAACGTCGTCGTCCCTTCAATTTCTAGTGTGTGGTCTGGTCAACAGTATGTTCACTATTTGTGGCTTTAGGAGGCTCCAAGTAGACTGTAGAGAGGAAGCTGGCAAAATCTCCAGCCAAAAACGCAGGCAACATATTCATCCCAACTCATCAAAGCTCATCATAATATATACGACAAGCAACGCACAGCGTGATGGATGGGAGACATCTCCCGTCACGCAGGGTGCAGTCGCACCTCCATAGATCTCCAGTATCAGCTCTTGATACTGGTAATGGTTCAAAAGGGCCACCACTTACGGGCTATTCATGCCCGTGCCACCTTTTGGGTGGCTTAATCTTCATCAATCAAGCAACGCACAGCGCGATATATACGACAAGGCAACAACGCACATCATGGTACAACAGACAAGGAAGCAGCTAGATTACATTGCGTTTACCTTCCGTTAATTCCGGGGGTTAACGTCCTCGCGGCCCGGTCTCTAGCCAAACAACACACATCCAGGACCCAACCAACGTGTTCGCCATCTTTTGCAGCAGTCAGTGCAGGTCCATATACAGAGTGCGAACAACGCACCTACAACTCATTATTAACGTTGCTACAACATTAATAATGTTCTAACAACGTCAAAAACGTTGTGGTTACGTTGTCAAATATTAGACAATATTTACACAAATAATTATTTATTTCTGTAATTTATTAGACAATATTAAATATTGGACGTAAAAGGCATAGAGTGTTCATTTTTTGTATTAATTTGGTATTATTCCACAGAAAATACAGCGGTCGCTGTGGGAAGCGTTGTCGGGTCCTGAGGGCTATGTGGACCAGAAGACAACATGCCAACACCAACAATCTCAGTGATCATCGCCAGAAAAACTGCCCTGAGGCTTTACTCACCGGAAAGTAGTAATAATAACCATCAAACAAGAGAAACATGATGATCCGTAATGATATTGACCTTTCCAAGGACCTTTCGAGCCAAAATTCCCACCATCTAGACCGCTTCCACTGTCGCCGCAGATAGATAGACTTCCACTACCGCAGATAGACTCCGGGGGAAACCGCAGAGCCTCGACCAAGCCGCGGTTACGACTTCTGGCGGGGGCTCATGAATGGCTAATAGGCAATTCCCGGCCACCAGCTTGTTTGTGGTCGACCGGGCAAATATAGATGTAATGTCGTCAATTATGGGGTGTAGAGCTGGCCAAGTGGTGTTATTGTGGCTGTGCCCCACCTGCCGGCGTGTGTGTGTGTGTGTGTGTGTGTGTGTGTGTGTGTGTGTGGTCACCTAGTTTTGCCTGCGGGGGTTGAGCTCTGGCTCTTTGGTCCCGCCTCTCAACCGTCAAACATCAGGTGTACAGGTTCCAGAGCCTATTGGGCTCTATAAACCTATTGGTGTGTGTGTGTGTGTGTGTGTGTAATCACCTAGTTTTGCTTGCGGGGGTTGAGCTTTCGCTCTTTCGGCAGAGTTGAGGGTTGAGCTCTGGCTCCTTGAGTGTGTGTGTGTGTACTAAAGTATTTCACCTATTTGTGCCTTCAGGATCGAGCATTAGCTCTTGGACCACGCCTTTCTAGCCACCGGTTGTCTAAACCAATTTCCCCCTATCATATAGCCTTTTAAAATTATGAATGGAGGGTTCTGCCTCCACAACCTGATTCAGGCTACAGTTGAGTCGAAAATATCTAAGAAAATATTTACTCCTGTCTGTAAGAGTAATACCCTGGAAGAACAAGTTGTGGAAGCCACCTCCATCCATACATTTAAGACCAGATTCGACCGAGAATCTGATCAGGATAGAACCTTATAGAAACAACAAGGCTAGAAAGAGCATCGAAAAAGGCAATCGACTTGAGAATGGTCCAGGACGAACCGAAACATCGTCGTCGTCCCTTCACCTTCTAGTGAAGGTGAATTTTTTACTATTGAATTTTTCTATTTTTATGCCCGAAACGCTTTGCGTAATAGTGGCTTTAGGCATTGTATGTACTAGCTCTACCTATAAGTCTACCAATCCTTGTAAAAATTTATTGTATGTATGTACCTTACCTAAATAAAATTGTATTGTATTGTATTGTATTGTATTGTAGTGTGTGATCTGGTCAACAACAAGGCTAGGATCTGTGAGGTTAAGTTGGGTCTTATAGCGCCCGCGTCAAGAGCTATAGACCTACCCCCCTACAATCCCCATTAGGTAAACACTGTTAGGCAGGCATTCTTACCCCAATATGAGACACGGGAATACATTGAGCTGTTTACCTACTCTTTTTATTGCGCTCTCCAACGGGTTTGTGTTTAGTTAATGACTGCAGTTTTCAGGGCAGTGTGTAAGTAATGACTCGTTTATGAAAATGAGGCCCAGTTGATGTGAAGCACATGGGGCCGTGTTATTGATGCCTCGCGCCTTGTTTACGAATGCGTTGTTGATATCGTTGCTGATTAATCTGCACTTGATTTAGTATGTTGCTCTATCCTACCAGGGATTTTTTTTTTTGAAAGCATGTTGGAAAATGATATCATAAATACGTGTTAGAAAGGGCTGACTGAGGCATCAGTTGAGCTTTCTATAACCTCTTTATTTATATTATTATTTTCCTATAACCTCTTTATTTATATATATTATTTTTCTATAACCTCTTTATTTCGCGGAAATTCTCGCTCATCAGATGAGCGCTTTGACCGCATACGAATATGAAATGAACGAAATGAACATCGTAAAAAAGATTGAAACATAACTGTTCATTACACAACTGTTTCATGTCGCGGCACAGTTGACTAAGGCGCCGCTGGGAATCTATCCTATGCGTAGGTTCGAACCCTGATTACAGCCCTTTTGGATTTGTTCACATAACATTTGTTGTTTTATATTCAGCTACTGGGAACAAAAAGTTCCAAGTATATATATATATATATATATATATATATATATATATATATATATATATATATATATATATATATATATATATATATATATATATATATATACACACACACACACCAAACAGCACCTCGAACTCAAACCCTCCAACCCCAACCCCCTCCACACTCACCCCCCCTCTTTCCGTCCCTCACTTCAGACCGTCCGAAAGCAGCTTCCTTGCAACAGGTTCGCTTCCAGTTCCTCTTATTGCTGGTGTATAAGGGTGGGGGTGCAATTCGCCAGTGTGTCCATCTTCGTGCACAATCAAACGGGCGAGCAAATGGAGGACGCGTGTTAGGCGTCCGAAGTGGGGCCAAAGTGACACTCCTGGCCAGAATTCATGGTCATCCCGGGTAAGTGGCCAGCGCTCGAGTGGGGGATTTAGTTATAGGGTGAACGTTGGCCCTCATTGATTAATTGGCATGAATATTAATGAGGAATGGATCATTGGCCTGAAGCATGAAGGTCAGTGGCATGACTTGGGGCTAGCGAAGGGAAGCGAGGGATAGGGAGTAAAGGAAGGGAAGCGA